CATATGGTTGTGATAGCGTATTTGGATGGTCCTATCGTGCCCGTTATAGTTAGGTAGCGTCCGTGATGGTCTTTGTGGGTGGAAGTGACCTGTAGGGGGCACGATTTCCGCAACAGGATTGCCACTCCATTGTGTTTACCCGTGTCGGAGTTAGCTAAGTGGCAGGCCTTGAAGTGGCGGCTCAGGAGGGGGGAGGGGCGCTCTGCTGAGTAGTGTGTTTACTGCAAGAGGATAATGTCTGCTTTGGTGCGGTTGGCCCATCGCATAAGTCTGTGTCGCTTTGTGGGGTTATTTAGCCCTTTACAGTTTATGGAGATGCATGTTAGGCTAGCTGGCATGGTGGTGTGATTGGTTGTGTTGCGTCTGGGTGTTGGATCTGCCCATCCAACCATCCCCTGTGGCTTTTGGGGGTCCTGTTAGGGAGCCTGGCTTGTTTCCCCTCAGTGTGACCAGCTCAGTATTTCCCCTCAGTGAGACCAAGTGTGACCAACATAAAACATGTAACCAATAACGGTAATAACAACAACAATAATAATAACTGCCTGGTCTTAGTGTTCTTTCCAGGTGTGGTGGTGTGGGGTGCGCGGTTTCATCCGTCCTGTGTATTATGGGGCATCGTGTGGGGGTCCCCATGGTGCGTCCCGCTATGGGCAGGTTTAGGTTAGGGTCTGCACGCTAGGGGTGTGGTGGGTCTGTCCCGGGCCTCGCCATTGGGTGTCGGGGTCTGTTAGATCGGGGTGGTTGGTATGGGTCCCCAGTTTCTGTTCTGGGCCCGATGGTGTGTGGCAGGTTTGAGTGTATGGGGGCTGAGGCCCTACGTGGGTTGGTGTTGGAGTGTGCATTCGTCTCCCATAACAAATACATTTTCACCCCCCCATCCCACCCGCCTCCCCCGCACCAATACGTGCCACCCTCCCCAGTGTTCTCCTCCCTCCAGTTGTTCTATGCTACACCCTGTCCCCTCCGCCCAGACCCCTTCCCCTAGGTTAGGTAGTAAAGTCCCGTTATTCAGATCTAGTCCATTCCCTAAGCTTGGTTAATAAATGTGTAGCTGCATTTATAGTAAAAGGATATGTTAGTGAGTTCTTTTGTCAGGGTGGTTGATGGCTTTGTAGCCACTCCGCCGCAGGGCTTGGTCCAGGCAGCTGCTCCGTTGTGCACGAAGAGTATCGGCTTTGGTGTGCTCATGGTCCATGGTCTTGCCGGATGGGTTGAAGCTGTCGTTTGGATGGCTGGTTCTGGCATGGTTGTGGTTTTTCCCAGAGCGGTGTCCGTAGAGTTCTGGTGCTGGTCATTGGGTTTGTAGATCTGGCCAGTGCCTCAGGAATTCGGATGCCCAGTGTTGCCGCAAAGGATGCCATCCTGGATATGTCTTGGAGGACGTGGGTGGTGTCTTGCTGGCGGACTAGGAGTTTAAATGGGTGCCCCCAGCAGTTTTCAATGTGTGCTTGTGCCAGGGCGTTGGTGAGTGGTTTGAGTTCTCTGCGCTTGGCAAGGGTGATGAGTGATACGTCCTCGTAAAATTGCAGTGTTGTGGCATCGAATTTTGGCGGTTTTCTCCGCGTGGCAGCCATGATGATCTCCTTAGCAGTGAAGGCGCACTATGACATATCTGGGTGCTGACTGGTTTTGGCTGGGGGGCTTCAGTGCCCTGTGTGCCCGGTCTATAGTCAGGTCTTGTGGTGTTGCGTCAGGGAGGAGAGACAGGAAGAGTTTGCGCAACGTGGAGGGCAATATGTCTGGCTTTACGGTCTCAGGTAGGCCTCTTATCCTTATGTTATTATGCCTTGAGCGGTTGTTTAGGTCTTCTATACCTGTTTCCAGCATATCCACTCTGTTTCTCAGTGTGGTGATGTCTGCCTCCTGTGCCTTTAATGTATCCAGGAGTTCATCTGCTCTCTGCTCCACCTGACCTGTTCTTTCTCCCAGGTCTGCTATTTCTGCCTTCATGCAGTGTAATTGCTTCTCCAGCTCTGCTGCCATGTGTCTCTTTATATCTGTGGCTGCTTCCCTTAGTTGCAGGTCTCGCTTAAAAGTTGCAGGTCTCGCTTTGTCAGTGGGGCTGCTGCTGAGGCTGTTGCCTCGCCCTGATGAGTCTGACTCATCTGCCTGCTATGGGGAAGATGGCGCCGGATTGCGCTGGGGCCGGAACAATGTGGCCACCAAGGGTGTTTGATCGCGCTTTTTACGATTGCCACCCATACCGGTAGGTTGGCGTGGGTGTCCTGGCGGGTGTGCCGATATGTTAGGGGGTCTGCGTGCAGGTTGTTGTTTATTTGGTAGCTTTTTTTGATGCTCGATGGCGGGAGTTCGCGCACTATGAGGCCATCTTCGTTCCCGGTCAGGCTCCGCATGATGTTTTTTTAACTAAAAATATTTATACTTATTTCTTATGGATTGGATTACTACAACAGGATGGTTTCTATAAACGCTTTAGTTGCATCTACACAATTGAGTATTAGGAAAGTCTTTGAACACACCTCACTGTATATGTTCAGTGTCTTGAAACAAAAAAACTCCTCCCTTAACAAACCCTTATAACCTTTTGTTGTCCACTCAAGTCTATGGAGTCAATATCCACTATGGAGTAAGAAATATCCGTCTTTAGCATGCACAGTTCTCTGTTTACATCAATTCCCTAATTTCATTATCAAAACATATATTATGGAAGAAGCAGCTAGTATTGTGAACACTCACATTTCCCAGAAGCTCTGTTGTGTGACAGCTATTTTGATACTCTATGTTTGTTTAATATTGCTCTTCACCACTCAGACACTTCTCCGGTAAGGATATGAAGAAATCTAGAAAGAAAATGCCTCTTCACATTAAAATAACACAGCATTGGTGACCTGCTCCTCCAATTGAGAAGGCCCAAAAAGGTGGCAACCAGATACGCAGTATTGTCCTGTTCAGAGGTCACTTCATACAATGCTGTGGGTCGATAACAGGTTTGTGCTCTGAAAGGTAGTCTAAAGTACAAATAGTGATTGTATCACCATGGAAGCCGGTGAAGCCAGCAGGCACATTCCATAATAAGTTTTGGGTCATGATAGCTGCAAAACATAAATCACTGATAACAGCTTACTTTTTTCCCAAGAGCTTTGTTGCAGTCGGCCTACTATGAAGGTCTTCCATTGGCCAGTTAACTAAGCAATTTCGGGATTTTGGTATTCCCTATAATTGGGGTCAACCTCACTCCCTTGTTCCTTAAAGTGAAGGCAAACAACATCGGCAACATCTGAGGCAAAGATGTCACTTTTTCTTGAAGTTTTAGGACAAACTAGGCTCTCCAACTTGGATTCTAGCCCTTCTACTGCTCCAGTGCAGGGCATTGATAGTATTCGTTACACTAAGCTCCCACGGACCAGGTTGCACAATACCTCTCTGGCTTTCTAAGCTCTTAAGGATGTTTATTATTGATGATACTGCCTTTTACTTTTTGCTGTCAGTAATGACTTGTAATTTTTATTTTATGTTTATGTTCATGTTAGTTTTATGCTCGGGTGCTTCTCAACTTCTCTGATTTTCTCTCTCCCCACCTGACAGTGCTCATCAGTCATTAAGCATTAATCTGGATGTTCTGGAACTAATCTACAAATATTTTCAGATTTTTTTAGTTATTACTTGGCTTTTTAAAACCTTTGTCCTGATGAGTGCATACCTAACTACCAGTATATTGTACTATGGATAACACTACTAATGTTCTTTGCCTCTTATGAAAAACATTTTATATAAGACTTGATCTTCATTATTGTGTGTGCACTTACTCATACGTACCTATACTCATGAGGACCATCCTAATTAAATAATTAAAATTAGATGTCTGTTTTGTTTGTCTTTTTTCTTCTGCCACTCAGTTGGCATGCCTGTTCCTTTCTATAGTAATTTTATAATAATGGGGCACTTTTTAAAAGATACTGCTGAGTTTTGGCTGCACGTGAAGTTTGTTTTTTGGTGCAGTTAATAAAGATAATTGCCAATGTAAGGAAGATTCAACACTCAATAGTAATAATCTCTTTGACCTTGTCTCCATGAAGCTCAGAAACATATAGATAGTTTTCAGTTCAGTTTTGATAGCGATTAACTATATGTGAAATGACAACCTGTGATATTGGTTTCAAGCAAGAAGCACTCAAAGAAAACCCGAGTTCTCAATATCCTTGAGATATCCATGTGATTCAATATAACATATCTGGTAATGCATCATCATCCTCAGTTTGGATGCCTGTCTGCTTCAATGTTTGGAAGAGGAAGGATATGATGTGGGCGTAATAAAACATAAATATAGTGGCAGGTACTAGATTTTAAATTACTTACATTTTCATGTATTAAAGATCACCTTAAATTATTGAACCACCACATCCACCTTCAGATTATGCACATCTCCTGACCCTTGTAGACTAAGCCAAGCTGAAAAAACCTATAGGTATAAAAACAACAAAGCACCAGGCCTGAATGATTTTTGTGTTATTGAAGAAAATATCCAAGCTAAACAGTTAGTTAGCTTTGCTTTATAACACCACTCACACTGTATCTCACCAGGGAGGGAGGGAGGGAGAGAGAGAAGCACATATGGGCTCCAGTTTTGTCACTGCAGTCTGTACTGTGTGTATTACTTACATTACAGAAGGCATGCCTCTATTTTAATTGGGTGAAAAGGGTATGTTTCTTTCAGAGACTGGGAATCAGGAAAATGTTGAAATTTGAGAGCAGGTGGCTAAGGAGGTTGGGTTACACTGCTGATAACAGCAACACATTTTACAGCACTGCAGGAAAACTACACAGAATTGAAAGAAACTAAACACAGGGATTTGAGCTGATTTACTTTATTTTAAGCTGAACTTGTTTAGCTGCCTGGAATGTTCCTTTAAGCTTCAATACTTACTTTTGAGCATAGTATAACTTTCTTATTTAAAAAGGGTACGTTTTGAGATGCTTTTGATAACGTGAATCTTTTTTTTCTATGCTGCATCTGAATTATATTAACATTTTTTATTTTATTTTTTAAATTACACTTCTTACACAAAACATTTCCTGTATTTGCAAGTGTGGGAACGCAGTACAGTAAAATTTGAACAGATCATGAGATCTACAGTTTGACAGCACAGCTCTCCTTAGAGACTATAAAGCCAAACGTACACTGTATATTCTCATAGTGAAAAGAGAATTAGAAGTATTCCCAATATGACTATAGTGAAACATTACAAAATACTCAAACTCATTTCCTGCGTGAGAGAAGGTGCACATCAAAGATTTATTCATTGAACAATGAGATGTGGTTTGCTGACAAGAAAGTTTATAAAACAATAGACTAACTCAGTCGAGTTAGAGATTAACCAATTAATTTGATCATGTCTTGTTTTTTAGTCCTTATTTTGTTTATTTTTTACCCACATTTCTAATAGGGACACCAATTGCATACAGGTTCCTCTAAACATCCTTATAATTCGGATGAACAAAACATAAGTATGTTTTAGTGTTAGCTGTTTTAATTACAAAAAAACCCCATCAGCATTGAGATTTCTTCGGTAAACTTGTCTGCGTCTTTATTTTTTTTTTAAACTGTTTATTTGTAATAGTTCATTTGGTCTAATAATCTACAAAACAGATTTAACATGAAACAGCTATATAGACATAATAGCCTTTTATATAATAAACATCCTTCAGTTTTCAGATGTATGTGTCTTACTTTTGTTTGCCTTTCCTACAGAGCTTGGATTCTTGGTTACACTAGATCTGTTGATATGATAGATAATACTACACATATGACATAGGCGCAAATGGTTGATTAGCTTTACATTTTTATTATTGTATTTATTATGGGGTGTATTGTCTTGATAGAATTTTCCTTATGTGCTGGATGTTGTATTTTGAACACTGTAAAGTTAATCTCAGTATTTATTATACTTACATTTTGTAAACACGTATAAAGCCAGAACAACAATACAGAAAGTAGAAGAGTGGTTAGGAGGCAATGAGAAAAAGATGAAAGCCCTGATAACAGGAAGCTGTAAAAGGACCATGTAATTTTCGTAGCATAGGAAATATACTGATGTGCAGTATATGAACAGAAGGACAGGGACAGACCTGAGCTGCATTGCAAACATGGGAGAGATGTATAAAATTTGAGAATTAAGAGAAGGTAGTAGGGTGGAATTATAATGCACAATTTGTCATCTGTTTTTGCAAATTAACTACCCTCATTCTCTGAAACACAGGTAGTCAAATACTGAATGGTTAACTGTTAGTACACTACAATTAACATAAATCTTTTATAGAAAAAAAACAGTATGTTCCTGACAATAAGTGATGTAAAAAGCCTTGGTGATTTAAAACAATTAAACAGCAACAGTCTGTATAGTAATACCTGTTATTTATTTGAATCAGTCTCATGTGGTAGCCCCCACCAGACCAAAGGCCCGTGGACATAAAATATACAAATCTTCAGCACCATCATGTAGTACTTTGTGTGCCAATTTCTGTAAATACGGAATTCTAAGCAACTCCCACAAAGTTACAATGCTCTCTTCTCTACATTCACCTCAAGCCTTTTTCTCACACGAAATATTTGTACCAGTTTTTTTTTCTGTTTTTTTTTAATAATTGTTTTTTAATCCATAACCACAGAAAATAAATAATTTACATGGCAAGCACACAAGTCACACCATTAAGCCCACACAGATTCTTAACTCATTCATTGCCAGAGCTGCCAACAGTGCACCGATTCAAGCAAGGAATGTTTGGAGGCCTGCATGGCAGGAAGAGTGCTGAAGTATTGCAATTAGTATACAAATAAAATAATAGTGTTTAAAATCTTCATTCTGAATTTAAGTTGCACTTTTCATGTGTTGTGCACTTAAATCTTCGTAAGAAATATCTAAAAGCATTTCCCTTGACCAATAGAAAAATAGATTTGTTTTAGCTTTCTAAAAATGTTATGTTTGAAAATATGTTTACTACATTCCATTCCTGGTATGGTAGAGTAGTAGAACAGGTAAATTGCCTTGCAACAAATCACATCCAAGTGCCCCATAGGGACTGATGGAGTTGAGTGCTAAATAATATTAGTAAATCACTCTAAATGGTAGCCTAGATCTAGGCACGTCAAATCTAACACATTGCTCCCCCACCAAAATGATCAGAAGAAAATTAAAAAACAAACAAAAACCTTGCAAAACCTGTGAGGCATTCAGAAGGATAATAAGGAGGTGAGCACAAACTTGGAGGTTTACTGGTGTAGGCAAAGTTTACCAGTCATTCACCTTGTGCAAATTTATAGTAGGGAGTTGTCAAAAGTTGTATTAGCACACTAGTAGCACCACATCCCCAGTTTCATTATCCCATCCCTCTGAGAGGGGCAATAACAACATCTCATCCTCTTCCTCGCCTCTCTCTAAAGAATGCTCCTCTGACTCCTGTCTGTCTCCTGTTCGCCTTCCAGCTATGGGATCCTCTCCTACCAGTGGATGAAATATCCTTTCTCTAACCACCTGCATCATCCCAGTCATCACACCTCGTCTATCCCCTGAAGACTGGACCTGTGGGGTGGGTTCAGAAGTCTCAACTTCAGGAACTGAGGCTTGTGAAGAATCCAGTGGTGTTTTAATCGGAAGAAGTGGAGCTGAGGGTGGTTCTCTGGTTTCTGTTGTTCCCTCTGGGGTTGAAGTCTGGTTCTGGGATGAATCAGTCTGTAGTCCATGGGAACGAGGCGGAAGAAGCCCCCAACGACGCAGGCGTCTGAGGAGTCGCCTGACTGGACGTGGTGGACGTCGTCGAGGTACCTCACCTCCAGGGGGGTTTGGTGGTGTGTTCTGAAGGAACTGCAATAGGCTACGAAGGTTTCCCATGAAGGAGCCCTGGTCAAATAAAAAGACAAACTTGTAAACAAAATGGAAAAAAAACATACTACATGTAAACTAATGGTCTACCAAAAAAAATTACTTTATTTATTAATGCCCTCTTGATACTTATCAAAACCATTTCTGCACCCAATATCACATTAACAGATTTTTAAAAGTCCCGCACAGCTGCTGAACACACAATCTTCACAAATGGAAAAACTAACATATGCCGAACATAATGAATTCAATGCAAGCCTTGTTTCAAAAACCACCTTGGTAAAGTAAACCAACAACAAAAGCAAAAGTGAGAGATAGGTTGTTTTATATCCTGATTCTGTAATCTCCAGCTTGTTTATACTAATTTAATGAGTTTGTTGCACAATTTGAGGTAGACTAGTCTGCCAATCCATATTCATGTACTACATACCCACTAAGTTTACTGCAGCTTGCTTATTTTACATTGTGTAATACTGTAAAAGGTGGATGGACAGTCAATAACTAAACTATTTTCAGCCCATTGATCTAAATAAATAAAGTACTCACTTAAAACTATCCTTCAAAAGCATAGATATCCAAACAAGAGACTATTATGAGCACTGTCTGAAGCAATATTAATTTTAAAAAACATTGGATACTTTCCTGGTAATATTTAAGACTATGGAGTGAAGGCCTGATGTCAAATCAAGCAATTATGTTGTTCATGTCTGCAGGGTTGATATAGTATAGCTAAAAGGCATGAGCGCTAAAAAGAAAATGGGCTCATAAGCAATTTATTCTGTCAACAATAGCTGCAATAGCCTGTTTGTGGCATTTAATGCTCAGGTTTATAGAGAGGAAGAATATAGCATGACAATAAGCAAGAATACAATAACAGAAGAATTGTGTAGGTTTAAGTGGGATGTACTCTGGAATGAATTACTAGAAGGAAACAGAAAAGGTGAGATGCGTTCTTCCCGTCTGATGGATTGGTCTGCAACACAAGGCAGGGATATGATTAAAAGAAGGCTAGCTCCCAGTACGTGAGCAGACTGAAAAGACTGGATATCTGTCTGAGGAGGCAGAAGTGGAGAATCAAACAAAAAAGCAAAAATAAAAACACACACACACACAAAAAAAACACAGGCATGACGGGTAATATGATAAACAGGTTGGTGTGTAGGAAGGAAAGAAAATTTAAAATAGACTTGAGGATAATATTGGTGAAGAAGTATTTTTTTTATGTAAATTACATAAAGTACCAGATAATTGAAAGTTGGGGCAAAAGCTTGCAAAGGACAAACAAAAACCATTCACAAAAAAACACAGCAATGGTCAAGAGGGTTGAGAATGGTCAAGAAAAGGCTATTGGCCAAGTCCTGTTTCACCAGGGCATCTTTGTTTGACATTTATTTTTTGTCCATGTTCACCTACTTCTCTTACAAAGTTAATTTATTTTATTTAATTTCCAATGCCTTCATATGGAGTGGAGGATAATTTTGGACTTTATTTCAGTCATTTCTGGTTTTCATGGGGGTCTTGAGTACTGCAGCTTTATTTTATACAACCCTGCTGATGCACAGGTTTGTTTCTGCCTTGAATTCACAATAAAGACAGGATTAACTAGTAGTACCAGGCCCGGACTGGGCATCGGGCAAATGCCCAGTGGACCGTGGCAGACCAGGGAGATCACATAATCTCCTAGGCAGGCCCTTTCAGGGCTGAACGCGAGGCGGGGAATGTTTGACCGGCAGGGAGATAGATGTCCCGGCTAGCCCTCTGTTCTGCCAGGGAGCATGAAGGGAACTGCTCCCAGAAGTGATCAGAGCATTGCTGCGGGTTACCACGACAACACTCGAATACTTTTGTTACAGCTGCACGAGGACCACCAGGGATCATTGTTCCCTCCTCTGTGGCCCTAAGGTAAGCCTAAGGGAGGGAGGGACGGGCTTAGCAAATAAATGCACAATCCCATACACCCCTATACAGCACCGTAACCCACTGCACAGCCCCATCCACCCTTTACAGCCCCATAACCCACTGCACAGCCCCATAACCACCCTGCACATCACCATAACTACCTTCACAGCCCCATACCCACTGGGCAGCCACATACCCCACCTATGCAGCCACATACCCCTGGCATAGCCCAATTCCCTTCCTGCACAGCCCCATAACCCCCTGTATAGGCTCATATTCCCCTGTACAACCCTTACTACAGCCCTTGCCTCCCTGTCTGTGCAGCCTCTTACCCCTACTGTACCCCTTGCCCCCCATGCAACCCCTTAACCCCTGACTGTGCAGCACCATAACCAGCTAATGTGCAGCCCCTCACCCCCCTGTGCAGCACCTTAACCCCCCAAAAGGTAGCTCCTTAGCCCCCACTGTGCAGCCCCCACCTAACC